TTTTACGAGATACCCATGGGGGGGGATTATGCGAGAAGCCCCTCCTCAAAAAAAATGCCCCCCCCCCCCCCCCCCCCCCCCCGCACGATTAACAATATATGAAGTCAAACGCTTCCGAGCACGCAAGATCCCGACCACCGGTAATATTTAGGTAGGCCGTTCTTCTGTGCCAATTTTTCGAGCTCTCTACAGGATCAATATAAACAAGAGAGAGATGCCCCTGCCCCGACAAGGCCCGTCCGGTCTGAGAATAACCGAAAAGTTTGATACCTTCCCCAGTCTGTACGCGCAGCGAGAACGCACGATGCCGACCACCGGCAATAAAGTTCAGCGTTCTTTTCTTTGCAAAATTTCCTAACTCTCCACACGATAATCAAAACAAACAAGACTCTTGCCCCGACAAGGCCAGTGCCGGGCGGTCTGAGAATGACCGATTTTTTTACCTTCCCCAATCTGTAGGCGTAGTGGTCGTCCAGCTCGGGAGGAAGGGGCGCGAACCGCTTCGGGAAGTCCTTGAGGCTCGGCCTCGGCAGCTTTCCCCTCAGCACACAGTGCTCCAGCTCCTGCAGCGAGAACACGTCACCGCCCACTTCGTAGGAAACCTCGGCAAACCTCGATGGCCACTCCTGCCAGACGCAGACACGCACGTTGTCCGCCCCGGAAAAATGAACGGGTGAGTCGGTCCTGGCGATTCAAGGATGAGAGATGGATCGTGTCTACGAGGCACACGCGCGCGCACTGGTAAATGGACATAGCTTTGGGACGGTTGAGGGATGCGGAGGGTAACCTTTGCGTTGGGTTTAACATACTGTAGTAAGCTTGGGCAAGGTCCGTTAGGCACAATGCACACACTCTGACATGTCCCTCACAAACGTGACAGTTTGGCGGAGTATGCATACAATCATTCCGTAGGGTATATTGCGGCTGAAGTTCACGACAGTCCGCGCCCCCGGGGTCGGGGGGAGCGAAACTGTTCAACCAAGACCACAAAGTCATCCCAAGAGCCCGCGCATGAGCTGTCGTGCACATGAGTGCTGCTCAACGGGTAAGCCACAACCAGCGCTTTTCGAAACGAGGGCATCTACGTTTCGCAGTCGCACGCTACGAGCCAAGCAAACCAACGACGACAACAGCAGCGGTGGCGAATACTGCCCGGAAGGTGGCGACAGTAATGAGCCCCACGTGAAGTGTGCCTTGCTCCGAACGTCAGGCCCGAAGGAGGCAGTGGGTTGCATTATGACAGGTAGAGCGCATGGCGAAATAGGCTAATTGGGGTTCTGTTGAACCGCGCATCAAACGGACCAAAAAAACACTTGGACCGTGAACTGGCACGAAAAAACGAAAAAACAACAATGTGCGCCTATCGAGCACAAGCCTCGAAGCGCAGCGTTAAGGGCGGGGGGTTCATCGACCTTTATCCCCGGGCGTTCCAGTGAACAGCCGCCGTACCTTGGCAGAAGAGGGAGCACCCAGGACCAGCAGCATGTGCCTCACGAGAAGGTGGTAGAGGTTGCCGAAGAAGCACAACGCCTCGTCAGAGTCCAAATCCAGCCGGCTGAGGTCAACCTTGCGGAACGCTGACGCAAGGTCGAGGAATGGCACCTGCGTGGGGGCGGAAACAAAAACACAGCAAAAGTCGAGCCCCGGTTAGCCCTCACCCTGGAAGAATTGCGTTCGAAGGAAACATGCACGGATGCACGGTCCGCAAGGGGAAAATATGCGACGATACAGTGTAGCCATCTTAGTCCCGCCGAAAAGAGCCTCCCGCCAAACTAACGCACTAGCGGCACATAACAATCCCGTAGGTGTCACACATCCCATCAACGCGCTCGCGGTCAACACTTCCGCGGTTTCGGCCAAAGGCGGCGCCTGGCGTGTTGGACAGAAAGATAAAGGCTCGACCACGGCGGTAAAAAGTCTCAAACGCTACAGTACGCCGCCATCGCAGGGCCGCTCGCACCAGTCGCTGGTTCCCGGGGTCAGCGTGGACCTTGAAGGCAGATCGCAGCGCCTCCGCGGCTAGCTCCCACGGCTGCTGCTGCTGCTGCTGCTGCTGCTGCTGCTGCTGATCTGTTGCCACCTTCTGAAGGACGTCCTCGGAGAGATCGAAACCCGGCCTTCGTGCGTTAAGGACAAGCCTCGGCGGCATCCGCCACTGCGCGGTCTTGAGCACGTACATTTCTCGCGGGTCCTGGCTCAGCTCCAGCGCTGCCATTGCCAGGCGCATACATAGAACAGAACGTGCACATGTGTTAGAGTACGCACGCGGAGGGAACCAAAATTGTTTCGAAACTTCGGTGATGTGGTAAATCTTGAGCCGGTCGTTACCACCGTACCCAGCGGGCAGTATCGGGAACGTACCAGAGTTTCTTAGTGTTTTTTCTCAGCAACCAATGATATTCAATCGGGTATGCAGGTAGGTGCACATGTTCCCGACCAAAGTTGGGTCGCCGGGGGGGTACACAGTTTCAGGGGCTTCGCTCCAATGAATTTTGCGTCAGACGTGGGCCGTCGGGAATCACGAGTACAAAAGCTCATTTGGAGACATTTTCATGTCGTTTGGTTCATCCTAAGGACCTCTACGGGATGAGATTCTTTTGGAAGGGGCGCGTGGTAAAGACAAAGACACGCGTGGCAAAGATACAAATCATTTGTGTGTGTGGTGAAGCCCAATCTCTTGCCGGTTAAATCGACACGGAATATAGATGTACAGAAAAAAGAGCAACAACAACAACGAAACAACAAAACTACAACAACAACAACAACAACAACAACAACAACAACAACAACAACAACAACAACAACAACAATAGGGGGTCTCACCGGAAGGAAGGTCTACGATGCCGCCCTTGGAGAGTCGCAAAATCTCCGCGAGCCAGGTGTCCCTTTTGATCGTTCCATCCCGGCGTTCCCATCGTTCCATCCAGGTACATACATGGGAACATACCACCGTCAATCCGCGGAACGTCCAAGTGCCATCCATCATCAACACCAAGTTGAGGTGGGCTAATGGTCGAGGGAGGATCTCAACAGTCACATATCTGTCGAGATCTAACCCTTTTATCGAAATCGCACAACACCATCCTCTCAACAACACAACGATTTCAAAAACAAATACCCTGGTTTCAAACGTTGCAGCAAGTAACGTTTTAACGTAGAGCTAATATCATTGTACGCGCAAGCTTGTTCAAAGGAGGTATTGGAACGACGAAATGTTTCAACCGAACTGACGCATTTCATTCGGAAGTGAGTGAGCCCGAACCTTGCGGAGAAATGAGAATGACAGTTCTCAGTTCTCACACAATTGTAGGCGTTCAAGCGGAACAAGACATGGGGTTCGAGGAGGATACACCAACAAAACCAGAACAGCTCCAACATTGGCACCCCTGGCTTCCCTCCCCTCCCCGCTTAGTTGGTGCCGCGCACCACGCTTGGCAAGACCCAGACACGGCAACCCCACAGGACAACTTGTCACAATTGTGCTCTGTGACCACGGGAGGCGTCCATGTGAGTTGCGTCGGTATGGATGTGGAGGGGTACCGAGCAGAGACCGGAACGGTTTCGAGTGTGAAGACAGCAACAAAAACAACGGCTACAACAACAGTTACGACCTGTGCTCACCTCGAGGTGCGGCTGGTGAAGCAAAGGTAGTGCGCGCGCCCGACGGTCTCGAGACAGAGGCAGCGGAGCCCGGGGAGAGGGCAGCGCTCGTCGGACGCCGCCGACGCCTAGGGGGGTCAAGGCGATCGACGCAAAGCACCACATGCAGCAGAGGGAAGGCAAGGCAAGCATCATCATCATCATCATCATCGTCGTCGTCATCATAGGCAGGGCTCACGTGTCGATATCTTAGGGCCGATAATAGAGGTGGCAGGCAGCCAGCCTTGAAGAAGCAGGGTGCAAGAAACGTCAACGGTCTACATCGGTCGAAGGCGCGGGGCAGGCACCGCGGGAGGCAGGAGTAGCATTAAAGTGGTAGTATCACTACCACCACAGCCAGCAGCAGCAGCAGCAGCAGAGCACAGCCACGAACACTACAGCAGCGAGTGCAAGCACCTGCGCCAGAACGCGCCGAAGGCGGGCGTTCAACACATTCTGAGCCAAAGCTGGTGGAACGTCCCAGAACAACGCGTTGTGCGTCAACCATGGACAACAAGAACAACCGGAGAAATCCAACCGCCTTTGCGTTGGACGAAATTTGGAGAGGAAGTCACTACGTCAGACAACGCCACAACCGTTCCCACCCTCTTAAGGCGACCCTCCTGAAGGTGCATGTTTGACGATTGCTCGCTCGCGATTGGCCATGTATCGAGTCATTCTCCAATCCATGGTTGGACGTGTTCTCTTTGTCTGGCGTTGCTTGTCCGCTGTGCAATGATTACATGCATTGGTGGCCATTGCTTGTCGTTAGCTCACCTTGTGGAGGGCCCTAAGCGGAAGCACCCACGCCGGCTTCCTGGACAGCGGCATGTAGCAGGCCACGTGCGACGGGAGCAAGACCGCCCACTCCTGCAAACAAGCAAAGGAGAGCGACACGTGAACAACGACAACAACAACGACAATCACGAGATCCGTTCCGCCACAAGACAAGTGAACGCAAAAACGAAATGGCCCACTGTCGTGTAAACAATACACACACTTAATGCCATCCAATGAAGATGTTTATTCCTTCCAAAATAAGGAAAAGACGAAAACCCTTCGGAGCGTCCCTCCGAGGTGCAAGTATCGATCTCGCCGTGGTGCTGATTTGGATTGGGGCTATTCTTGGCATCAGCAAGAGCAAAGGGGCACACAACCGGCGCGAAAAACCAATTGCATGTTTTCACCCAAAAAGACTAGAGAACAAAAAAAAAAAATTGCTGCAATAGCGCAAAATGTCGCGAGTACGATTCCCACGGACACCGTGCGGTACCGTAAAATCGAGGCGCTGATTAGAGGTGAGCGCCGTAGCTACTCGAACCACGCCCACGTGTCACTGACATGGCGAAAAAGAAATAGAGAAACGCCTTCGAAACAATTGGACGGCACCAAAGCGATCCAATCAAACGCAACCTACCCCGGTGTCTCCGTTTATGCTGGCTCACCTCTCGCCAATGCGACTCCCACAGACACCGCGCCACAGCCGAGCCGAGGATCGGCAGCGTGCTCGAAATCATCACGGTCACGCCGAGGTCGCTCGCGCTCGAGCCGCTGCAACACAGAAAAGTCAACATGCACGAGTAAAAGCATTAAGCAGAGGAGGCGCTCGGGGTTCGCGAGCACTTCCGTGAATACACTAGAAAAACTCCCACTACAGGGACTAGATAATCCAAGTCCACGGAATTGTCTTGCGGTCTAAGTCCGTGGTCCGGCCCTCTGTTCGCGGGTGTTGTTGCTTTCGGGCGAACAGATACGGCAAGTTCGAAACAGATACTGTACAGGAGGTTCGACAAGCAAAGGGGCGAGCTGAACTGATTTTGCATGCCAGGCACATCGATCGGCACCCACTCTTGCTACACCTACTTCCTGAGCCAAACGCGTGTGCAAGGTATACTGCAGGAACAACAACAAGCACCGAACCGACCGTCGCCACGAAAACGTATTACCTCAAGAAGTGACGGTCCAGCTCCCCTGGAAGGGTGACCGACTCGCAGAGCAGCCGATACGGCGCGGTCACCCCCCTTCCTTGACTCCCAACGTCCGTGGAAACCCCTTCCGGTTTCGGCGTGCTCGGGGCACTAGAAGAACCAGTAGTCACGCCGCTCCTGGCACCCGAATCGGTACCGAGACCGGCCGACGAGGTGGAGCCTCTGCCGGTGGTATTGAGCGCAGCATCCGATAAATTTGTGTCGCTACGTTCACTGGTACAGGTAAAAAAAAAGGGGGCGGGGGGGGGGGGGGGGAAGATACATCAGTCGCGCGGCTGTGTCGTACTCATTTCACTGGTATGCGATTCTTACCTTGTTCTGCGTACCCTCTGTTTTGGTCTTTGTTTCCTCGTCCCGATATGGAGACCACCAGTAATACTCCACAAGAAACAGGGTTAGGCCACGTGTGTCCGGATTGCCGCGGTCCCCCCCCCTTTGACCACACCTCTTTTCGCCGTTGTTCGAATTCTATAGATGTACTAGAGACGTCAACGAACGATCTGTCTCTGATTCCCCGTCGGAAACGTCTCAAAATAAAGTAGCTGAATTGGCGGTGCACCCCCCCCCCCCCCCCCCTAAATCCCGGCGAAACGGGGAAACCCTCTCCCAAAGGAATCCTCCCCCGCGGCTGTTTCCAAAAACCCGCGTTTAACCCAGGGGCCAGGCGGGGTGGGGGCCCCTGTTTTCCCGGGCGGGTGGCGAAAAAAGGAGGGGGGGGGGGGAACAAACGTTGCCCTACCCCTCCGAAAGCGTCCCTCCTGGTGCGGAAACCCTGTCCGGGGCAGCCCCCAAAAGGCCCGCCGAACCCGGGGAAAGGGCCGCCTTTGTGGGGGGGGAAGCCGCGCTTCCCTCCCCCCCCCTGAAGGGAGCCCCCCCCCGCTGCCTCTCGGAAAT